TTTTTATTTTATGTGTATGGATGTTCTGCTTGTATGCAGAGTCACCACTGATGCCAGAAGATGGCATGGGATCCCTGGGAATTGGGTGCCTGACAGTTGTTAGCCGCCATGTGGGTGCTAGGAACTGAACCCAGGTCCTCTGGAAGAACAGCCAGTGCGCTTAACTGCTGAGCCATATCTCCAGCCTTTTGGGGGAAGGGAGGTTGGGTTTTTTTGTTTGGGGGCATAGCGTGGTCATAGCTGGCCTGGAACTCCCTAGGTAAACCAAGCTGGTCTAAATCTCACAGAGATTTGCTTGCCTCTGCATCCTGAATGCTGGGACTAAAGGTGTGCACCACCACACCCCAGCTTATTTTTTTTAATATTTTTTATTTTATGTATATGAGTGTATTGCCTGCATGTAGGTCAGTGCACCCGTGTCATGCAATGCCCGTGGAGGTCAGAAGAGGTTGTCGGATCCACTGGGACAAGTTACAGACAGTTGTTAGTTGCCATGTGGGTGCTGGGATTTGAACCCAGGTCTTCTACAAGAACAACCAGTGTTCTTAACCGCTGAGCCATCTCTCCAGCCGTTTTTGTTTTTGTTTTTGTTTTTTAAAGACAGAGTCCTGGGGCTGGAGTTAAGAGCATTGGCTCAGTAGTTAAGAGCATTAGCTGCTCTTGCAGGGGACCCAGGTTCACTCCCAGCACCCACATGACAGCTAATAACTGTCCTTAATTCCAGTTCAGGGGGATCCATCACCTTCTGCCCTTTGTTGGCACTTTACAACAGGGGTAATATATATGCAGGCATAACACTCATATACATAAAAATAAATTTCAAGACAGAGTCCTTTGCAACTCTGGCTAGTCTCAAACTTACTATGTAGCCTTGAATGACCTTGAACTCCTGATCTCCCCATCCCTCCATCTCTACCTCTCAAGTGCTGGGATTACAATCATGCACTAAATCTAGCCAGTTGCACTATTTTAAGATTAGAAAATATTTCAGGCATGCAAAAACAGTATTCAAAGTAGTACAGCAAAAATTCATCACCCAGTTTAATGCAATGCAAGGGAGGCAGCTGGGTGTGGTGGTGCATACCCGTAATCCCAGCACTGGGGATGCAGAGAGACCAGACGATCATAAATTTGAGGCCAGCCTGGTCTACATGGCAAGTTCTAGGCCAGCTGGGGCTGCAGGAAGACCCTACCTCAACAAACAAACAAAACAAACGTTATGCAAGGAAAATTGTGATTGTAACAGTACAGAAGCTAAGGCCCAAAGTGTTTCAGCCTCAGAAGCACAGAAACAAAAGTAAAAAGCAACAAAAAATAAAAACCAGCTAAAAAGAATAAAACTAAAAGTAAGGGGCTGTAGACAGCTTAGTGGTTAAGAGCCCTGCTGCCCTTCTAGAGGATCTGAGTTCGGTTCCCAGCACCCACATCTGGCAACTCACAACTGCCTGTAACTCCAGTTCCAGAGCTATCTGACATCCTCTTCAGGCTTGCCTGGGCACCACACATGCCCATATAGACAAGCAGGCACACCAAAGAGGTAAGGGTCATGGGTGTGTGGATCCTCATCTCTACAACAGGTAGATAGGCATCCGTCCCAAAGCAGCACACAGCATTGTTTTGCCTTTTGAGAACAAGTCAACTGGACCAACTGCTGGCTTTTTTCTCATCTTCCAGATGCTTCTGACACTGACATTTCCCCTACTCTGTGGTGTTCTGCTGGCTAATTTATACTACAGCTGACGTAGCCATTCTCCTACAAATGTATTTTGGGGTTCTCAATTTTTCCTACCAAAAATATCCTTGCAATGACTGTGTTTTGTCTTATTGAGGTGCAAGGAATTAAACCCAGGGCCTCACAAGAGGTAGGTAAGTGCTATACCACTCAGCTACACCTCCAGCCTATTTTTAATTATTTATTAAATGATAATTATTAATTATAATTAATAAGTGAGGTTTTTGAGACAGGGTCTTATTATATAGCTCTGTCTGGACTGGAATTCACAGTGTAGCCTATGCATCTGCCTCTCTTTGTTGTTTGGTTTTGATTTATTTTGCTTTGGTCTCAAAGTAGCACCCACCTTTGATCCCAGCACTAGAGAAGAAGAAGCAGACAGATTTCTATGAGTTCAAGGCTAGTCTGGTCTATATACTGAGTTCCAGGACAGCCAGGGCTACTTAGTAAGACTCTGTCTCAAAAAAAAAAAAATAGTTTCATGGGCCTGGGAGATGGCTCAGAGTAAAGGTACTTGCCACCAATCATGACCACCTGATGGGACTTCAATCCCTGGAACCCAGAAGGTAAAAGGGGAGAATCATCTCCCACATGTTGTCCTCTGACATACACACACAAATAAATAAATGTAATCATTTTTTAAAAGACATGGTCTCAGGGCTGAAGAGATGGCTCTGTGGTTAAGAGCACTGGCTGCTCTTGCCAGGCGTGGTGACACACACCTTTAATCTCAGCACTTGGGAGGCAGAGGCAGGTGGATCTTTGTGAGTTCAAGGCCAGCCTGGTCTACATAGTGAGTTCCAGGATAGCTGGGGCTATAAGGACACCCTGTCTCAAAAAGACAAAAAAAAAAAAAAACATTGGCTGCTCTTGAAGAGGACCCAGGTTCAATTCTTAGCACCCACATAGCAGATAACTCCTGTTCCAGGGGATTCGATGCCCTCTTCTGACCTCCATGGGCATTGCATGGCACAAGTGCACTCGAATGCAGGTGATACACTCATACACATAAAATAAGGATAATAAAGAAAATATCAAAAAAGAAAAGCAGGGCCTCATATAGCCCACTGCTGGTATTACAGGAGTGAGCCATCACACCCAGCTCATTTTTTTTCTTTTTATTACTTATGTGTGTGGTGTATGATGCATGTGTACACAAACCTGGAGCTCCACATTTTGGCTGGACAGGCTAGCTCCCGAACACCATGGTGGGATCTGTCTGTTTCTTAGTTAGGCTAGGCGAGCCTCTTAAATCATGATTATCCTGCCTCAGCCTCCCAAATGCTGGAATTACAGACATGAGCCACCACACCCTCAGCTACAAAAGAAACTTTGAAACACTTTTTTTTTTTAATTTTTATTTTATGTGTTTGCCTGTATTGCTGGCATGTAGGTAAATGCACCTGTGCCGTGCAGTGCCCACAGAGGGCAGAAGAGGCTGTCAGATCCCCTGGAACTGGAGGTACGGACAGTAGTTAGCTGCCATGTGGGTGCTGGGATTCAAACCCAGGTCTTCTGCAAGAACAACCAGTGTTCATAACCACTGAGCCATCTCTCCAGCCTCTGAAACACCTTCTGAATCTCTTCCACCACAGGATAAGGGACTAGTTCCCCTCACTAGGCCTCAGGTTTCTCCTCTATAAAGTGGAGGATGGTTGAGCATGCTTTCTTGTCGGGGGGTCAACATGAAAAATCTCTTAAGACTAGAATATAGCTCAGTGATAGAGCATTCACCTAGCCTGCATAAAGCTGTGGGTTTCATCCCCAGCATTCTGCAAGGAAAAGTTTGCTGGAGAATAGTGATGCACATCTGAAATCCCAACACTCACACGGGAGGGACGTGGAGGCAGGAGGATCAGAAATTCAGTATCAGGGCTGAGGGATGGCTCAGTTGTTAAGCTGCTCTTGTATAGGACGAAGTTTGGTTCCCAGCACTCACATGAAGGCTAACAACCAACCATAACTCCGGTTCCAGGGGATTCAACACCCTCTTCTGATCTCCACTGGCACTGCATGACACAGATACACTTACACACATACAGGCAATACACCCATACACATAAAATAAAAATAATATATATATTTTTTGGTCTGTTTGAGACAGGGTCTCCCTGTAGCCCCAGCTGACCTGCAACTTGCTATGTAAACCAGGCTGGCCTTGAACTCACAGAGATCCACCTGCCTCTGCCTCCCAAGTGCTGGGATTAAAGGCGTGCACCACCAATATTTTTTTAATTTTATTATTTTTATTTTATGTGTATATGTGTATTGCCCACATGTAGGTAAAGGCACCCGTGTCGTGCAATGCCCATAGAGGTCAGAAGAGGCTGTCAGATCCCCTGGGACTGGAGTTACGGACAGTTGTTAGCTGCCATGTGGGTGCTGGGATTCGAACCCAGGTCTTCTTCAAGAACAACCAGTGTTCTTAACAGCTGAGCCATCTCTCCAGCCAAAAGGAAGAAGCAGCGGCCAGAAGCCAGCTGGACCATGAGGCAACCGGTCTCTAAAAAGATTCTTCAAACAATCACGATGTCATCCAACATAGATCTTACCCTTTCTTCTTATGATGAAGGTCAGGGATCTAAATGTATTCAAAAAGGTAGGGAGGTACCATTCTCCCTCTCTGAATGGCAGGCTTTGCAGCAATTGTTGCATAGGGATTATACAAATTGAAGAGCAGGGAAAATACAAAAATGTCCATTCACCTGATCCACATGAGCGTGACTGCCCAAACCTTTGTAGTGGTAGCCATGACTCTTGGTATGGGGTACTCCATGTATCAGGAATTTGTGGCAAAGCCTAAACAGTAGAAGAGATGTTGTCTTGATCTTGTTTGAAGAGCTTGCTTTAGTTACTACACATTGAGGTTATATGTTTCTGTCAAAAATAATACAAGTGAGTTTAGACAATAAAAAAAGAAAGAAATTCAAGATCATCTTCAGTTACATAGTTCAAAGTTCCTGGGCTATATGAAACCCTGTTTCAAAAAACTTAGAGGGAAAAAAAGACAGAGAGAGAAAAGGGGGGGTGACAAGTTTAAGTTGGGAACACCCCGTGGACCTGCCTGTTTACAGAACTTTAGCTCCCCAAGGCTTATTTCCCAAGATTCAGCAGTGATGAGCCAGGCCTCTTCCCCACTGAAGCACGGGTGCCTCAGGGGAATTGCGGCCACCACAGGTGCAGGTTCAAAAGCAGTTCCTCTACAAGGGCCTGAAAACATATGGCAACTAAGTCTGGAGAGTGAGGGCCAGTGGAGCCCATCTCCTTCAGGGCTGGGCAGGAAGTGAGGCGGGGTTAGGGGTGGAATCTGGTACCTCAAGGCTGCTGCAACCCAGACTAAACCACCCCACGGGGAGAAGATGCCTGGGATTCTGGAAGTCCTCCGAACCCTGCCCGCTGCGACTTTCCTCCTCTTTCTGCTGTCCGAAGCCTGCCTGGGTAATGTGGCCAAAGGGTGGGTGCCGCTGGGGGTGTAACTGAAGACAGGGGTTGGGGGGTGGGGGGTGGATCAGAAGCAGGAGTGAGCGGGAAGCCAGACATGGTAGCGGACACTCGAATACCCTCTACCTCTACGGTAATCCCAGATCTCAGGAGACTAAGGCAGGAGGATATCGAGTTGAGACTACATAGTGCATTCCAGGCAATTTAGTGAGACTTTTTCAAAAGAAAAGGCCGCAGGGGGAGCTAGGGAAAACCCCTATAGAAATCTTGTTTATCCCAACCTGTATACCAGGTATGAGGCTGGAGGAAGCTCAGTGAAGTCAACTATTAGGACCCAAGACTACTATCCCCCACAATACACTGCTTTGTCTCCCCAAGTCAAAAGAAGGAACTGAAGTGGCCCTTGACTGAACACTAAGGCTGGGGGCAGGCAGGCAGGAGACATGGAGGTGGCAGATGTTAGGGAGCAGCTCCTTAGTGGGGGGAGGGCACGAGGCCTCATCAGTCTCTCTGTTCCCTCTCACATCCAAGTGTGACCACACTGACAGAGGTTTTTCAGAGAGGTAGGTCACTCACACAAGTGACACTAGGAACAGGGATTAGAGCTGTCATCTCTGAGTTTAAGCCAGTGACCATGAGGTTTCTGGGCCTCTTTCCCCACCTTTCCCTCCTCACTTCTGACCTTTCTCTTCCTGCTACCTCCAGAAAAGAGATCACAGGCGACCCACATGGCCCTGGGGATGCTGAGAACTGAGGATTCCCAGAGAAGTCTGGAGTGGACACCCCTAGACACCAGTTCACCCTAGTCTCTATCTGAGCCCTGTCCCCTTACCCAGACTGAACTCCTTCAAATGGTAGAGATGAGAAGCAGCCTGGGTTCAAAAGCCAAGGCAAATTTAGTAAGGGACAGACCCAGGGGAGTGGGCCTTTGGGCCTCAGTACCACTTGTAACTGGCTGGGTGATGCTGGGTTCTGCCTACTCTGGGCATAAGCTGCTCCTAGTCTAATGGCAGTTTCTAGGGGTTTCTAAAGACCAGTCTAGGCAGCAGGGTCCTGCTAGTGCCAGGAAACCAAAGCACAGAGTGGGAGAGAGGCCACAGGATACCTCTTCCTTTTGGGCATCTACTCTCCTCCTCTATGATGCCACACTATCACCACCACCACTACCAGGAGTGGCCTCACTCTGTCCCTTCCACACCCAGGACTGCTGGTATTGTAGGGGTCTGGGCTGGAGTGCTCAGTGCCATCCCCAGGCCCTGTTCTGTCTTGTATCCCTGTTCCTCTCTCTACAGGCCCTGGATGCCAGGCCCTGACGGTGGAAGGGGGTCCACCATCTCTGACAGTGAGCATGGGTGATGAGGTCCGCTTCAACTGCGTTCATGATGGCAAGACCAGCAACGTTACATGGTGGCACATCCTTCAGGGCAACCACACATGGACCCCTATGTTCCTGGGTGATGGTCTGGGCCCCAAGGGTGGCGAGTGGTTCATCTCCAAAGTGAACAAAAGCCATGGGGGATTATACAGGTGCCAAGTAAACGACGGAACCGTACTTAAACATTCCTGTGGCACCTACCTCCGAGTGCGTGGTGAGTAGCAAGAGGTGTTGACCCCCAGGTCCCCGACTCCAACTGGAACAGTCTTCTCCACCTGTGAAGCAGGGGCAGAGTCAGTTTCCCCCTCCTAGGCCTGGAACCTGTAACACCCAGTGTCTAAGGTTCTCAGCTTCAAGACACTGGCTTCAGGGCTCCCTGACCTCATAGGGGAAGGGGCTAGAAGAGTAGGGGGTGCCAGGATGCTGAGCAGCACCTTGTCTTAACAGAGCCACTCCCTAGACCCTTCCTGGACATGGGGGAAGGCACCAAGAACCGCATCATCACAGCTGAGGGAATCATCCTGCTGTTCTGTGCAGTGGTACCAGGCACACTGCTGCTATTCAGGGTAAGTCCTCCAGGAACCCCCAGTAACCAGCTGGTCCTCTGGGGTCGGAGGCTCCCCTACAAAGTTTGGGAGACTAAAAGTACCCACTTCTCAGGTTTCAAAGGTTGAATGAATATAACAATTTTTTTTAATTTTACTTATTTTTATTTTATGTGTATGAGTGTTATGCCTGCATGTAAGTTCACCTGTGTCGTGTAATGCCCTCGGAGGGCAGAAGACTGGAACTGGAGTTACAGATAGTTGTTAGCTGCCATTTGGGTGCTGGGATTCAAACCCGGGTCTTCTACAAGAACAGTCAATGTTCTTAACCGCTGAGCCATCTCTCTGGCCCCCCAAAATTTTTTTTATATCCAAAATGTGTTTATTGGGCTGGTTTCTCACTTATCTTGATTCAGAGTACTTTTAGTGCTGCTTCCTCCTGAAGGAAGGTCCTTCTGTAAGCCGTGCTTTTCCACCTGTAGGCTGACAGAGGACAGTGGAGTAGCCAACACACAAGACTACCATTTGTGCATGGCTATAGACTGTGGTGATTTTATAGCATCCTGGGCATTTCACATCCATGAAGTAGGAATTGGAGCTCGGCACCAGGAGCTTCTTCTTGTGTTTTGTCTTCTCTCCTGGAGAGGGATGAAGGAGATCTTTTTCAGAGGCATGTTCTCCTAGGGAGGTCGTCACTGCCAGAAAGACTAATATAAGAAAATTTTTAAGAGGCACTGAGCTAGAGGGGTGACAGGACCACTTCCCCTCCAGTGTCCTACCAGCCCCTCCTCAGGTGTTCCAACTCAGCTCCTGCCCCACCCAGAAGTTCAGTCCCCTGCAAATGTGGCCAAGATAAGGAAGAAGCGGGCTGGGTGTCTTTCCAGAGCCACTTTTACTCCTTAGGCCACAGGACAACTATTGGTTTGTTTTTGTTTAGTTTTGTTGAGACAGGGTCTCACTCTGCAGCCCCGCCTAGCCTGGAACTCCCTATGGAGACTAGGCTGGCCCCAAACGCAGAGATCCACCTGCCTCTGCCTCCTAAAGGCAGGGATCAAAGATGTATACCACCACACCCAGCAACTTTTGTTTCTTACATTTTTTACTTTATTTCTTCTTATTGTGTGAGAGTGTGGGTACATAAGTGCCATGGTGCCCGTGTGGAGGTCAGAAGACAACTTTCAGGAGTCAGTTCTTTCCTTCCATTGTTGGATCCAGGGATCAAACTCATGTCCTTGAGTTTGCACAGCAAAGCATTTTTACCAGCTGAACCATGTCCTGGACCTATTTGTTTTTGTCTTACTTAACCCAGGCTGGCCTCAAACTTGTTAATGTAACCGTATATGGCTGGCCTGGAGCCTAGAACATCTGATCCATCTTATGTACACCTCCCAAGTGCTGAGATCACAGGTATATGCCATCAAGACCAGTTTTCATTTCTTTTTTCTTTTTAGTGGGGCCAGTGAGAGAGGCTCTTGCTATGTAGTCCAGGCTCACCTGAAATCCACTATAGACCACACTGGTCTGGAACTCACAACCTCCTCCCTCCGCTTTCCAAGTGCCCAGATTGCAGGTGTATGCCGCCACTCCTGGCTTACTGGCATTCTTGCTGTCACCCTTGGAGAATAGTTCAAAACGACAACAGAAACCTCCGGGTATGGTGGCAAACACATCCAGCACTCCACTTGGAAGGCAAAAACAGGAGGATCACAAGTTTGAGGCCCGCCTGGTCTACATAATGAGTTCCAGGCCAGCCAGAGCTTAAGAATGAGACCTTGTCTCAACAAAACAAACAAAAGAGACAGAAGAAAAAGTAAAGAAAGAGGAAGGGGGAGAAGAAAGGCAAAAGAAACAGCACAATAGAGAGATCTGCCAAGACCCCAATACGTGACCTTGGGCACACCCCTTCCCCTCTTTGAAAAAGCACTTGCTAGTATGTCAGAGGGCCTGAAAAGCCATTTACCTTCCCCTGCTGACTGAAGCCCGGACCCCATCTCCTCCCACAGAAGCGTTGGCAGAATGAGAAGTTTGGGTTAGACATGCCAGATGACTATGAAGATGAAAATCTTTATGAGGTGAGCGTTGAATGGGGATGGGGTAGGGACAGGTGCACTGGGGTCTCTGCATGGGGTCCTACCCTGGGGTTGACTGGGGGCAGGGGCCTCAGTTATCAGGGTACTGATGTCCACTGCTCTGTGACCCCCTCACCCCCCATCCCAGGGCCTGAACCTCGACGACTGCTCCATGTATGAAGACATCTCCAGGGGACTCCAAGGCACCTACCAAGATGTGGGCAGCCTCCACATTGGAGACGTACAGCTGGAGAAGCCATGAGCAACCCCCAAAGGCCCCCATCCTGCATCTCTGCCTGCTGTATGCCTAACTCCAGCATCTCTCTTCACCCCCTGGAATGGTCCCTGTCCTCTTCCTCCGTTTCTCCAGTCTTCTCTCTAGACTGCTCCAGCCCACTCCCCCACCTAATCCAGCCCTTCTTGTGGTCTGGCCCAGGTTCCCTCTCCAGCAGGTAATGAGCCCTTAATCGCTGCCTCTAGGGGAGCTGATTACAGCCACCTCGTTAGTGTCACCCCCTTCTCCCAGATCTGTCATGGCCACTTAAGTGATAATAAATCCTTTCCAATGCAGCCCTTGGCAGGAGTCATGGATCTCATGAGGACTAACCCCCACCCCCCCTACAATCCCTGGATCCCAGCAGTTAGGGGCCAAGTCCCTCCCTCAGATCCAGGATTCTGGGCCCAAGTTGTCCCCTGTCCACTTCTGAGACCAGACAGCCAGTCTTGGCTGCTCCTCCCCACTCCCACGCCTCAAGAAACAGGAAGCCTCTTGGGGAAGTCCCTACCCCAATTGAAGGGCTGGTTTGGCCCCTTTCCAGTGCCTCACCCTCGTCTTGTGTGGGGTGGAGAGGTACGGGGTTAAGGGAAGCATATACTAAATTTTCACGTACGTTTAAGCTCTGAAAACACAAGGTACTAGCTCCTGGGGCGAGTACCCAATTCCCCACTTGCACAGACTGACTTGGAGAGTCTGCCAGGAACCTAGGGATGGTGGGGAAACCCACAGTGGCGTGACACAAAGGCACAATGATACAGAGTCACTGAGATGGCGAGGAGAGGCAAACCCGGCACAACTAAGGACTGAAAGCACGTGGGGCAGTGGGGAGATACCGGGAATCCCCCATTGACAGCGACAGGGAGACAGGGAGGAAGGTTGCCGGAAACTGGACGTAAACATGAGCGAGCCTGAGGGAAAGCAACAGTTGGGGAAAGGACAGAGCCTGAGGATGAGAAAGATAAACAGAGCCAAAGGGGAGAAAAAGGGGCAGAGATAGAGGCACCGAGGAGCAGCTGAGGAGGAAACAGCAGGGGCCAGGGAGGAAAAGAGCCACCCGGAGAAGGGAGTGACTGGATAGGACCCCGGAGAAGAGGGTCACGGAGGGGAGGCTCGCCGCGAGAGGTGAAGAAGGAGGAAGCGCAAGGGCAAGATGGGCAGCTGGGGTGCGCCGCACGAGGATTGTGCGCACTGCGCAGGGATGGGTCGCACGCGCGGAGAACCGAGCGTCTTGGAGCGCGCGCCCCGCAACTCGGACAAAGCGGCTCCGGGAGCCAGGCGCGGCCGGGCGGGGCCAGCGCCCGCGGGGAAAGGAGGAGCTCGGCGGCTGGCGAGAAGGGGAAGGAAGCCGAGGTGCCGGGCGGGCGCGGGGCGCGGGCAGGAAGCGGGGAGGGGCTGCAGGCGGGGGCTCCGGAAAAACGCCCCGACTTCCTGCCCCGCCGGAGCCAGGAAGCGGGAGCCGGGACGCTGGGCGAGGGACCGCCAAGCCCGACCTCGGGCGCCCCGCCGGTGACCTCCCCGCGCGGACACCAGGTACACGGTCCCTGGCCCCGCCTGGCCTCCTCCCCTCCGCTGCCAGGGGAAGTGGGGAGGAGCAGGGAGGGGACCTAGGCGCTGCCCACAGCCGGCCCCCCCCCCCGGGGGCTCCCAGCTGAGCCGGCGGCCTCCCTTCCCCCAGCCTCAGTTTTCCCATCTGTCAAAGGGGGCAAAGAGAAAACCTTGCGTCCCGTGGTTCGCGCCTGTAATCCCAGCACTTGGGAGGCAGAGGTAGGAAGATTGCCATGAGTTCAAGGCCAGCCTGGACTACATAGTATGACCTGGTCTCGAAAAAGAAAACCAAAATGAGCCAAGAGAGAACTGACATTTGCCGAATGCATGGTTGGTAGGAATGAGCGGTGCTAGGCTAGGATGCAGGTTAACTGTTCAGTAGAGAACATTCCTCATTTATGGGTGGGGAAACTGAGGCCCAGAGAATCGGACTGCCTCGTCGCAGGGACATACACGCTTCGTGAGATACTGTACAGCTCCTGGAACTTGAACTTAGAACTGCTCTTCCTCCAATCGTGCTTAGCTCTTCCTCCAATCAGGCTTAGCTTCAGAGCCACCTAAAAAGAAAAACAGTAACTCCGTCGGCCATTGTGCAGCCGAGAGTTAGTTACAGAGCGTTGAAAACATTTCAGAAAGCTCTTCTGGATTACCCTGGAATGTGGGTGTATGGGGAGAGAGAGCTGGAAACATTTCCGCATTGTACAGATGGAAAGACTGAGGCCTAAAGGGAAGTAATTGCTTTTAGCAGGTTATTCCAGTGGAAACAGGTTCGCTCGAGCGCATGTTTTTTGCTTTCCAGTTCCAGCCGGAGGAGTTGACGGGGTGGCAGAGGGAGTTGATGGAGGAGCGCTGGGAATTTAAGGGGTAACGGGAGCTGGGGAGGTAAACCAGGTGGGAGCCCCAGTGGGAAGTCCGAGGATTTAGCGATCTGGGATTGAGCTCTCGCCAGGGGTTGGAACCATCCACAACTCCGGCAAAGGGGGCGGGGTCCCGGAGAGTGACAGGGGTAGTCGAGATGCGGAAACGCCGGCCCTCCAAGGCGGGCCAGAGCGGCCCCGTCTGGCTAGCGTGGCGCCTTGGATTGCTAGAGCGGCCGACGGAGGAGTAGAGTTGCCGAGGCCGGAGATAGGCAGGAGGCGGGCTAGAGCGGCCGGCGGGAGGAGTGGAGCTGGCCGCCCAGGTGGCTCGGGGTCGGCTAGAGTGGCTCCGCGGCGCGGGTGGGGGAGCCTGGAGCTCGCGCGCGGAGGCTCCGGTTCCTGAGGCTGCAGTGGCTTCTCTTCCCATCCGACAGGTGAGAGACGCAGCCCCTGGCTGCGGTCAGACCTGACCCTCCATATCTGTCTTCCCTGCCACCCCCAGCCGTGCACACTGCCACATTCACTGCAGTATTTAGGGCCCGTGTAGACCCGCCACGTCCTATTGTAAGATACAGAGCTCCTGAAGACCCGCCACGTTCCATAGGTTACAAGATCTTACAGATTACCCCCCCCCCCCGGTC